CATCCGAGCTGGGAACAGAGGGGCACGGCTGAGAGACCGGGGCCAGGGGGGGACAGGAGCCGCAGACGAGCCGCGGAAGTTAGTGTGGTGCTGTCTGTCCGAGTCTGGCGCACACCTGACCCCCCCCAGCCTCAGCACTCAGCAGAAAATACAACCATTTTATTTCAAAGAACCTTTCAAAACGCGGCTTACAAACAACTGCCGCAGCAGGGTCTGCCAGAGCCTGCACAGACCGCACACAGTGCCCCAGGAAGCTTGAGTTGCACCATAAACCCCGAGTCAAAGCTCCACCAGGAAAAAAAATCACCCTCGAGGAGAAATTGGAGAAACAGGAACACTGGAAAAGTGGTTGTTTTGTCTTATTTTTTCCCTTATGGGTGGAAGGCCCTGCCTTGCCCCCAGCCAGGGTCCCTGAGCCCCTGCACACTTGCTGCACCTGGGTTTGTGCAAAGTCAACCAAGCAACCAAAAAAAGTGAGACAACGTTTTAGAAACCAATTCTAAATTCTGTTTAGAATTCCTAGGGACTGTGAATTAATCTGACTTTCTTTTTAATTGACTAGATGTCAGCTAGAGTGGTCCCCTGGCATTTTAAACCTCCACACTTAATTATCTTACTGCCAATCATTTTAACACAAACACCAAGGTTGTTCTTATCCTGCTGGCCCCAGGAGGGTTTCCTCATCCCTGCACCTTGGTGTGTGCCCAATCCTGACTCTGAACTGGGGAGACCCAGGTGTGCCAGTGGGAGCCCCAAAGGCGCTGCAGTGTGCGTGGAGGTGATGGTCCAGCTAGATGCTCGTGGGCACAGCCCCACGGGGCACGGCCGTCCCTCCCAGCACCATCCCACATTGGACACAACCCAGGCAGCTTCTAGGGTAAGGAAATGATGATGTTTTCCTTCTCCTCCTGATTTTAAACCATAAAACTCAAGGTGGGCAAGTGTCACTGTCCCAGCCCGCCCAGGGGCCACCTGGCCAGCGGCAGGGGCAGCCTCTTAGTCCTGCCAGCCCTTCCTCAAGCGTACCTAGCATGTCTGCAGCCCACAGCTCAGAGAGCTCCTGCCTTTCAGCTGCTATCTGCAAGACTAAGCTCTTCATGACAGTTTCCTGCACAAGCCTGGCTGAACACGGGTACGCTGTCAGTGCCTGCTGTAACCTGTGGAAAGGTGTGGTGTGGTTTAACAGTGTGCCAGGTGAAGAAAGAGCTTCCAACCACCTCCTAGCTTGAATAATGAATGCCAAGCATTGCTCTAGTTCCCAGTCCTGTGCTTCTCTGCAGGAAACTGCAAAATATTTGTGGCTGGCATCTGCAGGAGGCAGGACCCCACATCACCCTCACCCTGCCCCACAGCCCAGCCTCCTGCAGGCCCCCGAGACGCAGCGCTGCTCCCTGCCAGGGACAGCTGCTGGTGGGGAGCAGGTTTGACTTGCAGCCAGCCTCCCCGGGCAGGATGACGTCTCCTCTCCAAGGGTTTCTATTGCATTACATGATTAATTAGCTGATTAACAAGACGTTGCTGCAGAAGAATCTGTTCTCTGGACACCAGCTCAGGCAAACACCATCCTCTGTGCTAATGAAACGCTTCTGTTCCACACAGGCATGCACTAATTTAAGCAACAACATGCAAATGAAGAACAATACAGTGAATAATCTGTAGCTTTTAAATGAATGAGCTACAGCCTTCTCCAGACCCAGACTCCAAGGAGAGAAAGAAGAATGACAGATAGCTGTAGTGGGCCTGGAGCTGCATGTCACAGGTGCTAGGGGGCTTGGAAGGTGACTGCTGCCCGTCACCCTTTGTCCTGCCCTCAGGGCAGGGAGGGCATCAGGCCAAGGATGCGGGCAGCAGAGGAAGATGTAGCTCCTACTGATTGAACATGGTCAGGAGGTGCTGCTGGAGATGCCTGTCCCATAAGCCAAGCTGTGGGCTCCCTTCTTGGCAGGATTAGAGCAGCAGCACCTCAACATGGCCCTGGGGCTCAAGGGTCCAAGTAAGGGTCCTGCTCCCTGAGTGGGGAAGCAGGAAGGGGACAGTGGTCCTGACAAGGCAAGACCAATACAAGTACAAGAGCTCCTCTTCCACTCCCAGGCTTTTAAAAGGATCTCAGGAAAAAAAAAAAAAAAAAAGCAAGTTGAGAGCCACAAAACTGGATTTGCAGCCTCCAGAAAGAAGCCTGCAGCAAGAGACTGAACAAGCACAATCCTTTTAGCTTATCAGGAGACTGAGAAGCGTTGCAATTCCAGCATGTAAGCTACTACAGCAAGAAATTACAAAGGACTGAAGACTTTTTAACATAGAAGAGGAAGGGGAAAACCAGTTACGTTCACAAATACCTGTTCTTCGCAGTGTGAGCGATTGGACCTGTATCCATACCCTCAGCTCCATTCTTTTCAGCATGCTTTGGCCAAACACCATCTCAGTGCAGAAGTAACTGGGCAAAAACAGATGCTCAGGCCAACCCGAGATGGCTGGACAGCTAAAAAGGTCAAGGATTATTTGCACTGCTCAGGCCTAGCTGGCAGGAGGTGGTCAGAGCAGAGGAAAGGGCTCTTCTCAGCTCTCACGGGTTAAGGGAAAGGGCAAGGCACAGAGGTTTGCAGTATCAGTTTTCCAGCCAATTTGAAGAAGTTTGCAGCGAACTGTCCTGCCCTGCAACCAGGCACGGCTGATACATGGAAAGCAAGAGGCAGGACTAAAAACAGTGGCAGCCAAATGGCAGACGCTCCCCCCATGGCACAGATCCCCCTGTTCATCCAGGAGAAGATGCTGCCAAGAAGGAGTGTCTAAGAACGCTAGCTGTAGCAAAGGACTTTTCACCATCTCTGGGCTCTCTCTGGCCAGCCCTACGACTCAGCCCTACCACATGTCTGCCAGGAGGGCATGGGACACAGGCAGTGCCTCGCTGCTCTGTACCACAGCGTTGCTCCTGGCAGCACCCCGGCAAGCCCTGGGCCCCAGGCTGATGCAGGCGTAAGCCCCGTCCCGTGGGCGCAGCGCTGCAGCAGCAGAAGGACCTGCTGCCCCGGGGCAGAGCACAGGGGACACTGCACCGCTCTTAAGGGAAGGAGAGGAATCCAGGCTGGGTAGGAACAGTGGGTATTTATCAACACAGAGAATTCATTACACATTACTCGCTCCCTCTCTCACACACACACACACCCCCCTGCTGCACCAGGCACCCAGTGCCTTTCTCCAGGTGCCGGTGGGCAGGGCCTGGGCCAAGAGTCTCTAATACGATGGGGTGGCTTCCCAGCGAGCCTCTAACAGATGCAGGCCACCTCCTGCAGAGGAGTTCCCCCTGCTCCACTCACAAAGCCCCCATCCCCTGGTGCCCAGGGGCCACAGGGTGTTGTCCATCCTTGGGCAGGTGCAGGCAGAGCACCCGAGGCTCCTCAGGGGCGCTGGGCCCTCAGACGGTTCCTGCGGCCGGCCTTGGCCCCGCGCTGGGCACCCTTCACCAGGCCCTTGAACTGGCCCTGCATTTTTGCCCGCTTCCTGGAGGGAGGAGGGAAGGAGCAGGAGGCTGGGTTAGCGCGGGCGCTGGCACAGCTGATGCACAGGGACGCTCCAAGCTACGCAAGGAGCGGTGCAGAGGCTGGCAGGGAGTCCCCAGACCCACAAAATAACAACAAAAAGCAGGGCCCAACCCGTGGTTTTGTCCCCATTCCCTGCCCTGTGCCCTCCTGCTCTAGACTCACCTTTTGTTGAGTCTAGCTCTGTTCAGGGGGATGTATGCGTAGGGGTCAGGCTGGCCCTTCTTCTTCACATCGCCTTTGCCTTTCTGTGGGAGACAGTGACATGAGAGAAGATGCAGCACCACGGAGATGTCCTGTTCTGGTGCAACCCTGGCCCCCAGCCACTCCAAAGACTATGTTGTAGTGGGTTGCCAGCTGAGCAGATGGCCCTTGGAGCCGATTTTCCACCCAGATGATGCTACAGACACTTGCTTTGAGCAGTGAGCAGCAACTGGCCATGGCAAGGGCAGGACCAGGACTTCAAGATGGGCTGGAAACATTCACAGGTACTGACTCTTTGGCAGCTCCTCTTGGAGCAGAGATTTACCTCCTGCAGCCTTAGCACTGCTGGACCAGACCCTCAGGTGCTTCCTGCCTCCCAGGCCAGCAGCAATTCTGCCCCAGTAGAGCCCCAAGCATCTCCCCACCCAAACCCTGTGAACCCCCAGGTCTCTCACCTTGGATCTGTACTCTGCACCAAAGGCTGGCTCCTTGTTCAGCTGCCGGTGGATCCCAGAGCCTCCAGCTGGAAAATAGAGTATGCGTAGAAAAGGGTTCCCAGGGAACCCCCTTCCCATTCCCTGTGCTAGAATGCACAAGGGCTAGGCAAGTTGTTCCAGTTTTTGCCTCCAACTTCAGTATGAGGAGAGCAGAGAAGGGTGACCACTTCCCATGAGCAAAGATCTCTGCTCCAGCTGCCCTGGAGCAGTCCAGTGAAATTGGTATGTGGTTCTGGCCCCCTGAGGAGCCCCAGACTGGGCGCAGGAGAAGGACTTACCTCTGTACTGAGAGTAGGTCCCAGCCTCGGGTTCCTCATCATCTGGCTCCTCTCTGAACCGACGCTTCTGGCTTTTCTTCTGCAGAAGAAGGCAGCAGGGACCCTGCAGCTGGCTCATCCTCACAATTCTGCCCTCCCACGGACCCCTAACCTCCTGCTGCCTCCCATGGGAGTCCAGAGACCTTCCAGACTGCCTGTGCACATCCCCTGCCCCAGGCAGCCTCCCGCACCCCTCCAAGCAGCTGGCACATGCCTGGTGTCCCCACTGGCCTCTTGGGCAGAGCTGCAGCTGCTGTGGCACAGGCAGGGGTCCAGCACAGCCGAGTTCCCCCAGCATCTCCTTAGGACCACAAGGCCCATACTCACGCTGCGGAGACCCACATCTTGCAGCACATCTGCCATCTCCTCGTCTGCTCCTACGGCACAGGACAAGAGGGTCAGTGCAGGATGCAGGTGCAGGAGAGCCCCTGTACGGTGCCAGCCCCAAGAGTGGGCTGCAGGAGCAGGGTGCCCCTGCCAAACTGGCACTGGTGGCCATGTCCCCTTCCAGCCCCATCCTGGTGATGGAGGGGGGTGCCTCAAAGAACGCCCCTGGGTGGGACGCGACGCCCCCCCAGCCTCTGCCAACTTCCACCCACATCCACCCCCAAGCTCCTGCATGCGGATGTCAGGAAGAAAACCATTGGGACTACCAGAGCAAGTCTAGCATGGCCCCCCGCCAGCCCAGGCAGTACCTTTGGCTTCATCATCCTCCTCCTCCTCTTCGTGGATGATCAGGCGCCCATCCTCAGACACCTGGAAGTCATGGCTCACTCCTCTGGACCGCTTGGGGCCTGGCTT